AGAAATTCGGGATAAAATCGCATGCGCAGTGGAATCGATTCTTAAACTATGAAAAGGCCTATTGCAAACGAAGAATAATTTCTTGCAGTTAGTTCCTTAGGGAAATTTTACTGTTCATGGTTATCTGAAGAGTAACTACGATTTTTTTCCCGCGGAAAACCACTTTCACTTGAGTAATTGCTTTAGTCAAGTATAGTTCATAGTTTCCCTCTATCAACTAACTAAACAGCTGATTTTATAACATAATACTTTCATGTGCTGCTGAATTACCTCCGCGGCAAAGAACTCTGCCTTGTTCAACTTGTATGAATTCCTTACTTTTAAAAACGTTAAATAAACCTCACATATTATCACCTTTTTAAGTAAATTAAACAAAAAAAATCATTAAAGAAATCGCCATTCCCAGGTTGGACGTCTAAATCACGTGTTGATTGGCAGACGAGAAATTCTCACTTACTTACTTTACCGGTATTCATTTTGTCACGTGCGTGCTTTGACTGACGAATTTTATAAAAACGAACAACAATCAACGATAATGCACACACACACACACGATCACACACACACACACACACAATCACACACACACAATCACACACACACAATCACACACAGATAAAAATGAAGAACAAAAACAGGCAAACAAACATGCTAAGAAACCGAAACATATTAACAAAAAATGGTTTCTCGTCTCTTAGCTAGGAAGCCCAACACTCACTTGGCAACGAATGTAATCCAATAATTGTAACTCTTATCATGGTTTATTTGCATCTCTCGGCTGACTAGAAAAACTACGTCTGATGCTTTTACAGCGCTTCTCAATTACACGCGCGAAATTACCGCCATTCTCAATCACACGCGCCCTCTACGATTGTTTCTATCCCGACGAAGAAGGTTTTGGTTGACGTCAATCACAAGGCGTTACCATAACATTGTCGGAAAGCACAAAAGGTTTTGCCGAAAATAGAAAATTAAAGATAACTCATATGCGTAACTAGCTCTATATTAATCAAAAAGCGCTTCATTAACTATCCTGGGCCCGGTTGTACGAAGGGTGGATAGCGCCATCCGATCGACGGATACTGGGAATCTTATTCGGTTGATAATTTTTTTGTATAACAGCATCGATTTATCCACTGGATAAGGATTTATCCACCGGTCAGCGCGCTATATACTCTTCGTACAACCCGGCCCTGTACCTAGGTCAGAGTTCCAGCACGTTTTGTTTAGTTCAGATAAATCTTTGTCCTTAAAAAATTACGCTTTGGTTAGGAGATAATATGGAAGCAAGAATATCTAAACTTACTTTGCCGCCGGGGTAGATTCCTATGATGCAGAGTATAGCAGGATCAGAAGCAGTCTTAGCTTCGCTTGTCTTTGATGCCACCTTGAGGTCACGGCGTACGGTAGGTTTTGTGAACGTTTTGCCAAGTTTTCCACAAACCTTTCCCATGCATCTTGAGTGACCAAGTTCAGCAATCGTTTTACTTCGTCTCAGTTCTTAGCTTACATGCCGTTGGACAAGTACTAGGAATATTAGACCGAATGAAACCATTTTGTCCTCGAAAACCAGCGAACGTATCTTCGACATGACGATTGAAACCAATTCTCGCCGTGTATTACATTTAATATATTCACCTCAAGATTATTTTATAATGTAGCATTCATGCATTCACCGCACGGGGCTCACGATTCGTGCGATATCGATTTTTCTCGTGAATTCCAATGCGGAATTCACTCGTCAGTCAAATGACTTTATCAAATCAGATGGTCCTTTTTCAAACGTATTGTGGATGCGAGGCTAACGATAGAAATACAAAATGAATCACTCTTCTTGATGGAATTTGTAGCATTTATTTTTATTTTTCCTTGTGATACTATTTTCCTAGTATTCAAGACAATTTTGAGAGTCAGGGTCTGTCGAGTTACAAAGTGTTTGTATTGTTTGAAAGTGAATTTTGAATACACTGATACTAGGCTAACTCTGTGTAAATGAGTCTGTAATCAAGGAACACAGCGGTAATTTGGAACTCGAAACTGATATGAAGAAAGCAATATCTGATGAGCAGTGAATGAAATAAAAGAACATGCTCTTATGATTTCAAAATATTTAGAAACAAAAATGAAAACATTCTCTAATGATTTGAAAATTCTCATTATATAGAGCATTACCATGTCACTTAAAGACGACAAGGAAAATACCGGTAGGCGAATTCTTATTCTTTTTTCAGTAACTGAGGGCGTCTGAGATATAGAGACAGTATAGACTAGTGAAAGAAGGACCTCAGAGAACGAACCAACGAACCAACGAACCAACGAACCAACGAACCAACGAACCAACGAACCAACGAACCAATAAGTCATAGATCTTTGGAAATATGGAAATATGCATTCATGTCATTCATTTCTGAGTCAAATTCTGAGTTTTCTTTTTATAGTAAACGTGAAGGTACAAGCCGTTGGTTGTTTCGGTGACGCACACTCGCCTAGAGCTTTACGCAACATGTACTTCAACGCCCGCGGATTCTATGCTCCTGATGGAAGTAAAACGACTGACGTAATCAAAGCATGCGCGGAGAACGCTTACGAGCGAGGCTACAAAGTGGTTTTTGGCATTCAGTATTATGGCGAGTGTTGGAGTGATGACGTAGCAGAAGGAAGGTACAACATGTACGGTGTGTCATCCAGCTGTGAACACGGAGTAGGGAAAGGATGGGCAAACATGGTCTATCGTATAACAGGTAAAATGCGATAGAGCCTTTAAATCCCAATGAAATTGAGAGGTATATGACAAGAAGAGCCATCTTGTCTCTGCGTGTTCTTTTTTTTTTTAAACAAGATAAAAATTTCCAGAGCAATGCTACTCAGAAAGTTAGGAGATAAATGAGATCTCCTCAAAACCATCTTTGACCCAGTCAAGTAAGCTGATCATTTATATGGGTTGATATCAACTGTTCCTTCAAATTATTGTGGTTTGTGTGACCTAATGCGCTTACATAACGCCCTAGCCGTGTCTGCAAACTAGTTGCAAACCAAAACCTTGACTGAAAAGTGTTTTGAATGGCATTATACTATCATATAACAAGTCATGCCTTGCTCTGATCTTTATACACTCGATAATCTCAGAATATGTAGCAAATGATCAGCACTGGACTTCCTGTAATGATAGGATGCAAGTAGCCTATGGCAAGTACCTTCCCTGCTTCCAACTGTAGGCCAGTGCAACATTTTCCAGGTTTTTACTTTTCACGTTAAGCATTAAGAATTATAATTTCGTCTTCTTCAGTGATTCCCAAATCCCCGGTCGAAGGGTGTAACATCAACGGTAAAGAGTACAGCAAAGAAGCTGAAATGATGATCCCCAACGACTGGAGCAGTAACGTGTATGACTCTAAATGCATGAAGTGTATATGTTCTGGTGGTCAGGCTATGGACTGTCAAGTACAAATGTTCTGTGAAACAGGGTACGAGGGATTGTGTTCCAGATGGAGGAACGCTACTGGTGAATGCTGTCCTGTCTGTGGTGAGTATAGGTTACCTTTCAATGTAAATCCGCGATCATGGGTGGTGGTATACAGCTTTAAGTTGTGATGTATTTTCGGTCCAATGCCGCTGCTAGCCAGCTCACAAAAACCAGCGAACGTATCGTAAGGTAAAGCAAAAATTCCTCAATGATTCATATAAACTCCACCCGAAACAATTAGGTTTTTGGACAGAACATCTTTTCGCGAAAAAAAAATCGTTATAGAACTGCTTTTAGATTTGGAACCGGATATTGTTTGATCGACGTCACACTTAGAAGCTCCGTAATAGTCGTGGACACGTGTCCCTCACCCCTGCATGAGTTCTCGGATTCTATTTCTGGTATTCAAGATGAAGGTCGTTCAAGCTAGCAACACCCATTCTGAAACACAGTCAAGGCCGATCAAAGTCAGGGAACGGCTAACTTACAGACTGAGTGCCCAAATTCGTTTAGCTCCATTTACTGGAAAGTCTGAGAATTCTATAGTGTCATTGGTAAAAAAAAAACTTTTGTATTTTGCAGACTGTTACCACGAAGGCAAACCCATGGAGGTCGGTAGTACATGGGTGGTACGTGAAGGACCTAGATGTTCAGAGTGCACATGTGGTGCTAATAACATCGCTAAGTGTACCAACCAACAGGGGTGTATTTGTACTGATGGATACGATGCGATACCAGTTCCTGGAAAATGCTGCCCTGAATGTGGTAAGTTATATCAGTTCCTGGAAAATATTGCCCTGAATTTGGTAAGCTCTTTCAGTTCCAGGAAAATGTTGCCCTGAATGTGGTAAGTTATATCAGTATACCTGGAAAATGTTTCGGCCTAAATGTGGTAAGTTATAATACGTTGTTGCTGGAATATGCTGTCCTGAATGTCTAGTTCTTGACGTCATTGACGTTATAGATAGTGTACAATGACCTTCCCTCCCCTCCTCTCTCCATTCCTTTTCCTTCGGTGACGTCTAACCTTTTCAATATTCTAATCCTTGGGGGTCGGATGATTTTTTATTGCAACATCAGACACATCATGAAGATTAACTGATCCCTCTTTATTCTGTGATCCCCCCCTTTACTATTGGTTGCTATCTTCTCATCTTTGTGTGAACCCCCTTTGATACTTCAATATGTGTGTCACCATGCACACCTGCGGGTTATAAGCATGGTTGGTCGTTGGCTAACTTGCTGGCAAATATTCACGCTAAAGTCATAACGAGTTTTGGTTGTTGAGTTTAGGCTGTGTTTACACGGTACCGAATTTGTAACCGGTCAAAAAGTTGTACGTTTAGGTGTTCCGTTCAGATCACGATAAAAAATTGAACGACACCGAGCATGTGAACATCGATCTTCTCTGGATAACGTTTCGTACGGAAAGCCACATGTTTTGCGCAAGTTCAGATAGAAAACCACTAACATTGATCCGGTTCCGTGTAAACAGAACGTACTTTTTATTCATTTAAAGAGGCGCGATTTTATGGAAATGGTATACGTATACTGTTTAGATTTTTGAGTAGTTAAAAATTCGTCCGGTACGGCGAGTTTGTCTTCACGCCCGCCAGTTTTATTTGTCGTTCAAGGTTCCACTGATTGTTCTCGTTGTTTATGTTGCGAATAAAAACATGTCGTCTTTGGTTGGTTGGTTGGTCATTAATATACACTTATTTCAATAAAGCTAGTCACCTGAAAAGCTATAAAGCTGAGACCGACAAGGATTATGGGTAGATACATTTTACATGTTTCAACTGCTTTAATAACGATTGAGGGATTTTAGATCTTTTAGCAGTTACAGTCTCACCTCTTCTGAGCATCCTAAAGCTGCAAATCGTATCAAAAGCTTTACTTGTTTGATGTTAAAAAATTCCCATGATCCTCAGTGATCTCAGCTTTCTAAGTTTTTTGGTGACTAACTTTATTGAAATAAGTGTATACAAATATACAACAAACTAGTCGTCTTTCATCTTTCTAATTATGATATTTTTGTTTTCAGTTCCTAAAAAGTCAACAACAACAACATCACCACCACCAGAGACAATCCCAACAACGAAAGAACGACCGCCACCAACATTTCCAATTTTTGTGTGATCAATATGCGATTACAAAACATTTAAACCAAAGATGAAACTGAATTTATAGGCCACATTCAATGCAGAGATCCCATCCTTGATTTAAAGTAATCCCGTAAAGTAATCCCGTAGTGCATTGTGTAACGCTAACTCCATTCTTGACCTAGATGCTTGCTAAGTATATCTATTGTAAAACCTTATCGAAAACTTTATATGATTTCAGTTTAGTTGCACCTTTTGTATCGTGAAAATCAATGAAAAATGCGCCGTGGAGGAATAAAGTAAAATCAAATTGACATCCATCATTGTGTCATCAAGAAAAGAATATCTGTTTGTATATGTTTTCTCCAATTTGCGATAACTAATTATTCATTCGTTTCTTCATTATATCATTCATTAATTTAACATCCGTTCCGCTTTATATCCTTCCTTCCTTCCTTCGCTCATTTAATTTATTTAGCTGTTTACTCGTTTATTGGCATTATTATTTAAGCTTTTACGGGTTTTCAAACTCAGCACCATTAAGGCATGGCTCTTTTGAGGAAGTGATGGAAAATCAGTTATTTATTCATATCTTTGACAGTTTAYTATGAATCTTTCCCAAWTTTGGCTCGTAGTAGTAATTCTTCAAGGCAAGCAATTACCGCATATATGTTACCATGGAAACCAGGTCACGTGACCACAAGGCCGCCATCGTGGATTTTTTAAACAAGCCTTTTGAAGTCCTATTGAAACTACTTCAAAAGTCCTGAAAATCCATATTCCTTTTTATATTTGCATAGCCTATATGGATCTAATTGGATATCTTGGAAATTATATTAAGTCTATTTTTTCCAAAAAATTGAAAATATTCTAAAAATTAAACTTAAAATATTTTCCAAGATATCCAATTAGATCCATATTCAATGTGTCCAATATTCAATGTGTCCAATCATCAACTCGGCATGATAAATGTTTTTTATCGATATATCTCTTTATTCAAGTGTCCAGTAAAAGTGATCTAAACAAGTAAATTGGAGCGTACTTAAAATCGTTTTCCATTCTCAATTCTATGCTCAATAATATTTCTAAAATATAGTTTTTTATTTTATTTATTCATTTGGCCGGCGTTCAACAAACTGTTGAGTAGAACTAGACAGGTGATTTCACCTAAAAGATAGTCTCCGAGCAATAATGATGAAAGAAGAATATGATAACTACAGAAAGAAAAACACAATAGAACAACAAATTTATGACCTACAATTACCCTAATTCATCATGGTCGTCGGAGGGGGTCAAATCAACGCAAATTCACCGAAAATTGTTCTAAAACCCGTATCAATCCACGAAGAGAAGTAGAATAGCCAGCAAACGCTCAGAATATTTTTTAGTACATATTAACACATATTATATCTGAAAACCAGGCCATTTTAGATTAAACTAGTATTTCGCTAGGAGCAAGTTTCGTTGAATTTTCTATTGGATTTGGATACCATTTGATATCCACGAACAAGTCCCCTCGAAAACAGACAAAAAATTGGGTCATGTTATATTAAATAAATAATAAATCAAACAATAACAATGAGATTTGAATACAGTAGATTCCACAGAGGGGCTCTTTTTCCACTGGATTCCAATTGGAATTTAGAAGTTGATTTTTAGCTATTATAAAGTAACTAATAAAGGACGATACAGACGCTGATTACCTGAGCTCTACGTTTCTTCCGCCTTTAAAAGTATTGTAAGATTCGATTTAAAAATGAAGAAAAAGAAAAAAGAGAGCTAGGAAAAAAAAATTATAGAAGCTGGTGCAACTTTTGATTGTATATTCTGCACCTTTCTTCCTTTTTAAAAAAAAAAAAATTCCAACTGCTTTGACTCTAATGGCTCGTGCATAGCATGAGAAAAAAGCCAACAGCATAGTTCCTTTAATTGTGTACAATGTCGTTGTATCGATTTCGTTTCCAAGTGACAGTCAGAGCACAAAAGAATGCTTTTTCCCGAAGCAAAAATAACGAGGTTGTGATCTCATTTACACTAATATAAAATAGTACAATCACAGGAAAAAAAACTGGATTCCCAAATTGGGAATTTGTTGGGAATTTCCTTGAATTCCCAACGAATCCCCATCCAATTCCCTGAGAGAACGAAATTGGGAACGTGGCACTGATTCTTAATGTTAGCCCTTTGTTGGGAATTTTGTTTTTCTATTGGGTATTAGAAGGAAATTCCCAACAATAAATCCCAAAGTTGCGGTGTTCGAATTGGGAAATCAAGGAAATTCCCAACAATTCCCAATTTGGGAATCCGTTTTTTTCCCCCTGTGAATCCCCCTTCGATTGTCGTCAGATTTAATGAAAATTGATTACGTAAAAACTAAGAAACCAAAAATTAACAAATAAATAACGCAATATTATTTTAATTGGTTAAATTAAACCAGGCGGAAAAGGACAGACAATGGAACAAAGAACCGATCAATTAGAACATAAATAAATTACTTTGATTGAAATACTTTCAAATTTTTTTTCCGACTATGGCCAATTCTGCCAAGAAATTAAAGCTAAGACCAATCTATATTACAGCCATCTAAGTGTTAATTGAGTTTGTTTAAAGCTTTTCCACGTGTATATTCTTTGTCGGTGTTGCAAGAAAAAGCTATAGACTAACATCATAAAAGAGGATATTTGTTTGGGCTTCAACCAATGCTATAATCCTCACTTACCAACTAGACACCGTACAGTGAACATCGCTGGGGTAAGATCTTCTAGATCACTAGATTTTAGTTTTCTTTTCTTTGAATTCTTTTAGCTCATTTTCTTTCTTTCTTTTTTTTTCTTCTTTTTTTCTTCTATTTTTTGTTTGTCTGTGTTTGTGTAATTTCTCAATTTAAATTACCCAAACTTTTAATGTTTCGCATTTTGATGAGTTATATCTAAAGTAAATTTTAAAATCTCTTTTCTTCCTCCTTCTCCTTCTCCTTCTTCTCCTTCTCCTTCTCCTTCTTCTTCTTCTTCTTCTTCTTCTTCTTCTTCT